TACAGGCCCTTAATCCCATCAGATTTGTAGATCTTAACCAGGCAGTCGCCGAGGCCTCGGAATTCCCTTTCAGCTCCAGCTTTACCCACATCTGCTGCTAGACGGGTACGGGCAAAATCAAGAGGGTACACAAAACACAAGGATGTGGCCCCAGCAGCACCGCCTGATGCCAGATTCCCTGCAAAGTAGCGCCAAAACTGGGTCCTCTTGTCCACACCACCCAGGAAGATCTGCTTGTATTTATCTTTGAAGGCGAAATTAAGAGCCTGGGTGGGGAAGTATCTGATGACATTGGCCAGGTTACTGCGCCAGAAGGACAGGACTCCCTGCTCCTTGGGAATACGGACCACACAGTCTATAATGCCCTTGTATTGCTTATCTGCGGTGATCTGCTTGCTGGCATGCCGTACCTGCAGCAGCAGCTTGACCCGCTCGATAGGCGCTACCGCCGTCTTGGAGATGGCTGCGGCCACTCCACCTGCCAGGAAGTCTTTGGCGAAGGACACAGCGGCATCTGTCATGTTGAAAGGAAAGACGAGGCAGGCTGCTGCAGGACAGGACTGAGCCGGAAACCGGCTTTGACTCCGGGGCTGCGGGGGCAAAAATTATATATGTTTATGGGGTACAATGTAATATTTCGATATATGTATATATTACAGTATAATTAAATCAAATTAAATAGGCATGCCTTACATGCTTATCACTTTTGGGGCTGAGATTAAACTCTACTTTCAGCAATTTTCAAATATACAATATATTATTATTAGATATAGTTTCCGTGCTGGAAAATAGATGTCAGAACTTATTCCTTCTGTATAATGGAATCCTTTACTCTTCGACTAACATCTCCCCATTCCTCACCCATCAGCCCTGATAACTACCATTCTATTCTCAACTTCAGTTAGTTCAAATTTTGAGATTCCACATATATATGAGATTATGTAGTATTTGTCTTTCTCTGACTGTTATATTTCACTTAGTCTATAAAGTGTTCTCCAGGTACATCTATGTTATCACAAATGTCAGGATTTCCTTCTTTTTTAAGGCCAAATAATATTGCGCTATGTATACATGCCACAGTTTTTCAAAGACATTTTTATGAGAATATGAAGACAAAACTAAAAGAAATTTGTGAATCACATATCTGATAAATGATTTGTAACCAAAATATATGAAGAACTCTCAAAACAATAATAACAAATCAGTAATTAAAAATGAGCAAAATGTTTGCATGGAAACTAACAACATACAGATAACATATAACCACATAGAAAAATATACTCAAAATTATTTTTCACTAGGCAAATACAGGTTGAAACCATGAGATAACTACACAGTTACTAGAATGGTTAAAACTTTGAAAGCACTTACACAATGATGCCAAGAGTAAGTCTCATACTTTGTGAGATGCAAAAAATAGCACAGTCACTTTAGAAACAGTGTGGCAGTTTATTACATAGGTGAACAGAATCTTACTACAATATCCAGTATTACCATCCCTAGACATTAGGTAAAATATAAACATAAATGCAGGTGTTTATAGCAGCATTAGTCATTCTTGCCCCAAATTGAAAACAACCTAAATATCCTTCAGGTCATGACTCAATAAATAAATTGTGGTATATCCATAGCATAGGATAGTACAAATTATTGATACACACAACATAGATTTCAAATGTGTTATACGAAATGAAAGAAGCCTAGCTATTGTAGGATTCTGGAAGAAGTAAAAACAGACCAATATTTTCCTGGGCTTAGAAGTGAAGAAAGATCTTAACAACAAATAGCTGCAGAGAACATTTTGGTGGTTGGGGACTTGGGACAATTTAATATCTGGATTGTGGTAGTGGTTGTTCAACTATATGCACTTACCAAAACTCACAATATTTTATGCTAAAAATTGTAAACTTCCTATATGTAAATTAAACCTTAATTTTAAAAAGAGACTTAAAAGTTAACAAAAAAAGTCTAGAAAGTATACACACATACACCAAAATATACTTATTATACCCACAACTCACCTCATACAATGCAGTAGTGATAGTTGAATGACATCAAGATTCATATTTTAAAGTTATTATTTCCTTTGTTCAAAAGCAAATTTAAATTTTTTAAGAGAATTTGGGGATACTATAAAATTTTTATTGGACTCTGAATTTGTGGACTGAGTGTTCATTTCAACAAATTATCTTACTACCCACAGTAAAAGTTCTGAGGGAAACTACATCATGTTTTCTAATTAATACCTCGGACTCCATGCCACTGATTTATCAGAATTTATTTAAACATTTCTTATTGGTAAACATTTGTATTACTTTTTGTTCCTCACTATTATAGATAATTTTTGAAAATACCTTTAAACATAAATATTCTGAATTTCTGAAATTAGATATCTAAAATTCAGTGTGCAGGTTTAGAAAATATAGGTAGCTTTTTGCCTGACAAGTTTTAATTATAAAAGTAATGAATATGGCCAGATGCCATGGCTCACACCTGTAATCCCAGTACTTTGGGAGGCTGAGGCAGGTGGATCGTGAAGTCAAGAGTTCAAGAGTAGCCTGGCCAACATGGTGAAACCCCATCTCTACTAAAGATACAAAAATTAGCCAGACATGGTGGCAGATGCCTGTAATACCAGCTACTCGGAAGGCTGAGGCAGGAGAATTGCTGAAACCCAGGAAGCGAAGGTTGCAGTGAGCCAAGACCATGCCACAGCACTCCAGCCTGGGTGACAGAGCAAGACCTCATCTTGGAAAAAAAAAAAAAAGTGACAAGATATTGTGCCAGGTCATTCATTTGAATTGTCCACTATTTTACAGATAATAGCGAGCTGGAATTATAATCTATTCAGTCTGGCTCCATAGCCCTGGTCTATAATCAATATACCAAAGTTGTAGAATTCCAGCAACCATGGAGACCAGGTGGGGGTATGATAAATGGTGTGTGCCAGGTAGAGGACAGAGGCGAGCTGGAGGGCATTGCCTTGCCTAAATGTGCCATCTGCTATTCATCTAAAGCCAACTCTTGTCATGTAAGGACACAGACTGTCTAAAAAAAGGTGGAAACTAGGATTTGCTCATGTTGCTCATGCATAAAATCACCAAGTTTTAAAATTTTTGTACACACAAAACAAGAAACACCTCTTGGGAAGATCTGGTCCAGATTCTCCCAGTTTATGCCTCTAGTAGCAAAGTTTGCTATCTTGAGCTGTTGATGTTATATTTTATATATTACATAAAATATATAACATATATATGTTATATATATATATATATATATATATAACATATATATGTTATATATTTTCATTGGATGAAAAAGTGACAAATAGAACTTGTATTGCAACATGACTGCCATAGGATATATAACTTAATGACAATAAATTAATATCTACATTCATTTTCATGTTTGAGTAATATAAATACTGTTTCTTGCTTGTGGTTTCTACATGGTTGTAATATGGAGATAGTTCTGCTTCATTTGAATGTAATCATATATTCTCATGTCCTTCTATTATGAATGAACTGCTTTTCTGAACAAGCTGCAGGAAGCACACTGAAATGCCATTAATTTATTCTCAAACCACATTTCTGTTCTCACATGTCACACTCCCTGCTACTATTCAGCTCTAGCAGTATATAGAAAAGCTAAATGTAGGCCCAATTTTCAAATGTCGATATTCAATAAAGAATGGTTATTTAAAATGTGTCTGAGGTAGTGGGACTCAAACTTGGCTGCACACTAGAAATACTTAAGGAGCTTGAAAGTACACAGAGACATGGTTCTTACCCCCAGAGATTGTAATTTAATTGGCCTAGGTGTAACCTGGGCATCAGAGTTGTTAAAAGCCCCTAGTGATTCTACGATCAGCCAAGATTGAGATTGACTTGTCCAATGTATGTTTTGCAACATAATATTTGATGTATGGTAACAGTTGAGTTAACAGCACCTATTTGTAGAATTGGTAATTATTAAAGGTATTTTGATCTCTTCCTCGAATCAGTGTATCATATTATTGGTTTTCCTTGAATCTTCTTGAGAAGTGATACATAGCATACTGTGATGCCATAATTTTTTAAAATTAGAGAGCTGCCTAATCAGATCGAAGAGATGAAGCTCTATTTCTTTCATTGTAATCATTTTCTAGACTATAATCCTTTTGAAGAAAGGGGCTCAGTATTGTCTTTGTGTACCCAACACTTAGCATTATGCCAGATACACACTATGTACTTTTAAAATTGTTAGTTGAATAAATGATTATTAATAGATCTATTTGTTTCTCATAGATGAGCAAAGTAAAATAGATTAAGAATAGACAGATACAATCTGTGAATGTGGCCTTAGTTCCCTGAAAGCCACTAAGAACTAAAGGTACAGGAGCAAGCACACCAGCAAGTCCCTCGATTTCTTTGGCTTGTTTATCACACTGTATAGCTGTCACATAGTCATGCACATTCCTTTCTTCCTAGTTGAAAATAAGGAAAGGTAGAAAAACTCTGGATTTAGAAAATCCTATTTCTCTTGACTTTTGGATATCTCCGAAGAAACAAAATGTGGATCAAAGCCCTTAACCATACACTTTACATTTTCTAATGGGCTCAGACCTTGTTACTGCAATATTCACATGTGCAAAGCAAATATGGCTTATGTATCTTTTATGTTTATTTATTTATTTATTTTTGAGATGGAGTCTCCCTCTGTCTCCCAGGCTAGAGTGCAGCAGCAAGATCTTGACTTACTGCAACATCTGCCCCTTGTGCTCAAGTGGTTCTCCTCCTCAGCCTCCTGAGTAGCTAGGACTATAGGAGCCCATCACCATGCCAGGATAAGTTTTGTACTTTCAGTAGAGGCCAGGTTTCACCATGTTGGCCAGGCTGGTCTTGAAATCCTGACCTCAGGTGATCCACCTGTCTCGGCCTCCCAAAGTGCTGGGATTTCAGGCGTGAGCCACCATGCCTGGCCAGCAAATGTAGCTTTTTTTAAAAAAATATTTTATTGTGTTTTAGGTTTTGGGGTACATGTGAAGAGCATGCAAGATTGTTGCATAGGTACATACATGGCAATGTGGTTTGCTGCCTTCCTCCCCATCATTTATATCTGACATTTCTCCCCATATTATCCCTCCCCAACTCCCCATCCCACTGTCCCTCCTCTAGTTCCCCCCAACAGACCCCAGTATGTGATGCTCCCCTCCCTGTGTCCATGTGTTCTCATTGTTCAACACCCGCCTATGAGTGAGAACATGCGGTGTTTGATTTTCTGTTCTTGTGTCAGTTTGCTGAGAATGATGGTTTCCAGGTTCATCCATGTCCCAGCAAAGGACACTAACTCATCGTTTTTATGGCTGAATAGTATTCCATGGTGTATATGTAATCTCTATAACTCTTCTTCCTTTTAGACCTTTCTTCTGGCTGGGAAAAATCAATTTTGACTAGGGGAGTAAAACTCAGTGTTATTTAATAAGCAAAGGTATTTTTAAAATGTAGCTCAGGTTTTTAGAATTAAACGTTGTTTTATAGATTTTAGCCTCCCCCAGTATTTCTCTTTAAAGCACCTTCAGAGTATATAGCCAGTCTGCTTTGCACTCCATGGAT